TAGGCACCGGAGAAGCAGCAGCTGCAGCATCTGCAGCAGCAGCAGCTGCTTCAGCAGCCGGAAATGGTTATGGTTATGATGGCTCTCTTGGAGGACACGGTGCCTCAGCAGCATCCGCAGGGGCAGCAGCAACAGCAAACGCTAATAGTGCAACTCGCGAAGGCCTAGGCATCGGAGAAAGCAGCAGCTGCAGCATCTGCAGCAGCAGCAGCTGGTTCAGCAGCCGGAAATGGTTATGGTTATGGTTATGAAGGCTCTCATGGAGGACACGGTGCTGCGGTAGCAGCATTAGGCAACAGTTATACAATATCTGATACCGATACTTACGCACCCTATGGTGGTGATTTCTATCAAAGAGGAGGTAATGGGGCAGGAAATGCAGCAGTAGTAGCCACTGCTTTGAATTCTGGATTGAATTACGTGACTGATTACAATAGAGGAGGAGAATACGTATATTATGGAGATTTCCGTCAAAAAGATCGTTACGGATCAGGGTATGCAGCAGCAGCAGCTGGTTCAGCAGCCGGAAATGGTTATGGTTATGATGGCTCTCTTGGAAGACACGGTGCCTCAGCAGCATCCGCAGGGGCAGCAGCAACAGCAAACGCTAATAGTGCAACTCGCGAAGGCCTAGACACCGAACAAGCAGCAGCTGCAGCATCCGCAGCAGCAGCAGCTGGTTCAGCAGCCGGAAATGGTTATGGTTATGGTTATGATGGCCCTCTTGGAGGACACGGTGCCTCAGCGGCATCCGCAGGGGCAGCAGCTGGTTCAGCAGCCGGAAACGGTTATGGTTATGGTTATGGTTATGATGGCTCTCTTGGAGGACACGGTGCCTCAGCAGCATCCGCAGGGGCAGCAGCTGGTTCAGCAGCCGGAAATGATTATGGTTATGGTTATGATGGCTCTCTTGGAGGACACGGTGCCTCAGCAGCATCCGCAGGGGCAGCAGCTGATTCAGCAGCCGGAAATGGTTATGGTTATGGTTATGATGGCTCCCTTGGAGGACACGGTGCCTCAGCAGCATCCGCAGGGGCAGCAGCTGGTTCAGCAGCCGGAAACGGTTATGGTTATGGTTATGATGGCCCTCTTGGAGGACACGGTGCCTCAGCAGCATCCGCAGGGGCAGCAGCTGGTTCAGCAGCCGGAAACGGTTATGGTTATGGTTATGGTGGCTCTCATGGAGGACACGGTGCGTCAGGCGCATCCGCAGTGGCAGCAGCAACAGCAAACGCTGATAGTGCAACTCGCGAAGGCCTATACACCGAACAAGCAGCAGCTGCAGCATCCGCAGCAGCAGCAGCTGGTTCAGCAGCCGGAAATGATTATGGTTATGGTTATGATGGCTCTCTTGGAGGACACGGTGCCTCAGCAGCATCCGCAGGGGCAGCAGCTGATTCAGCAGCCGGAAATGGTTATGGATATGGTTATGATGGCTCCCTTGGAGGACACGGTGCCTCAGCAGCATCCGCAGGGGCAGCAGCTGGTTCAGCAGCCGGAAACGGTTATGGTTATGGTTATGATGGCCCTCTTGGAGGACACGGTGCCTCAGCAGCATCCGCAGGGGCAGCAGCTGGTTCAGCAGCCGGAAACGGTTATGGTTATGGTTATGGTGGCTCTCATGGAGGACACGGTGCGTCAGGCGCATCCGCAGTGGCAGCAGCAACAGCAAACGCTGATAGTGCAACTCGCGAAGGCCTATACACCGAACAAGCAGCAGCTGCAGCATCCGCAGCAGCAGCAGCTGGTTCAGCAGCCGGAAATGATTATGGTTATGGTTATGATGGCTCTCTTGGAGGACACGGTGCCTCAGCAGCATCCGCAGGGGCAGCAGCTGGTTCAGCAGCCGGAAACGGTTATGGTTATGGTTATGGTTATGATATCTCTCTTGGAGGACACGGTGCGTCAGGCGCATCCGCAGTGGCAGCAGCAACAGCAAACGGTGATAGTGCAACTCGCGAAGGCCTTTACACCGAACAAGCAGCAGCTGCAGCATCCGCAGCAGCAGCAGCTGGTTCAGCAGCCGGAAATGGTTATGGTTATGGTTATGATGGCTCCCTTGGAGGACACGGTGCCTCAGCAGCATCCGCAGGGGCAGCAGCTGGTTCAGCAGCCGGAAACGGTTATGGTTATGGTTATGGTGGCTCTCCTGGAGGATACGGTGCGTCAGGCGCATCCGCAGTGGGAGCAGCAACAGCAAACGCTAATAGTGCAACTCGCGAACTCCTAGGCACCGGAGAAGCAGCGGCTGCAGCATCTGCAGCAGCAGCAGCTGCTTCAGCAGCCGGAAATGGTTATGGTTATGATGGCTCTCTTGGAGGACACGGTGCCTCAGCAGCATCCGCAGGGGCAGCAGCAACAGCAAACGCTAATAGTGCAACTCGCGAAGGCCTAGGCATCGGAGAAGCAGCAGCTGCAGCATCTGCAGCAGCAGCAGCTGCTTCAGCAGCCGGAAATGGTTATGGTTATGATGGCCCTCTTGGAGGACACGGTGCCTCAGCGGCATCCGCAGGGGCAGCAGCTGGTTCAGCAGCCAGAAACGGTTATGGTTATGGTTATGGTTATGATGGCTCTCTTGGAGGACACGGTGCCTCAGCAGCATCCGCAGGGGCAGCAGCTGGTTCAGCAGCCGGAAACGGTTATGGTTATGGTTATGGTGGCTCTCCTGGAGGATACGGTGCGTCAGGCGCATCCGCAGTGGGAGCAGCAACAGCAAACGCTAATAGTGCAACTCGCGAACTCCTAGGCACCGAACAAGCAGCAGCTGCAGCATCCGCAGCAGCAGCAGCTGGTTCAGCAGCCGGAAATGATTATGGTTATGGTTATGATGGCTCTCTTGGAGGACACGGTGCCTCAGCAGCATCCGCAGGGGCAGCAGCTGATTCAGCAGCCGGAAACGGTTATGGTTATGGTTATGGTGGCTCTCCTGGAGGACACGGTGCGTCAGGCGCATCCGCAGTGGGAGCAGCAACAGCAAACGCTAATAGTGCAACTCGCGAACTCCTAGGCACCGGAGAAGCAGCAGCTGCAGCATCTGCAGCAGCAGCAGCTGCTTCAGCAGCCGGAAATGGTTATGGTTATGATGGCTCTCTTGGAGGACACGGTGCGTCAGGCGCATCCGCAGTGGCAGCAGCAACAGCAAACGCTGATAGTGCAACTCGCGAAGGCCTATACACCGAACAAGCAGCAGCTGCAGCATCCGCAGCAGCAGCAGCTGGTTCAGCAGCCGGAAACGGTTATGGTTATGGTTATGATATCTCTCTTGGAGGACACGGTGCTGCGGTAGCAGCATTAGGCAACAGTTATACAATATCTGATACCGATAATTACGCACCTTATGGTGGTGATTTCTATCAAAGAGGAGGTAATGGGGCAGGAAATGCAGCAGTAGTAGCCACTGCTTTGAATTCTGGATTGAATTACGTGACTGATTACAATAGAGGAGGAGAATACGTATATTATGGAGATTTCCGTCAAAAAGATCGTTACGGATCAGGGTATGCAGCAGCAGCAGCTGGTTCAGCAGCCGGAAATGGTTATGGTTATGATGGCTCTCTTGGAGGACACGGTGCCTCAGCAGCATCCGCAGGGGCAGCAGCAACAGCAAACGCTAATAGTGCAACTCGCGAAGGCCTAGACACCGAACAAGCAGCAGCTGCAGCATCCGCAGCAGCAGCAGCTGGTTCAGCAGCCGGAAATGGTTATGGTTATGGTTATGATGGCCCTCTTGGAGGACACGGTGCCTCAGCGGCATCCGCAGGGGCAGCAGCTGGTTCAGCAGCCGGAAACGGTTATGGTTATGGTTATGGTTATGATGGCTCTCTTGGAGGACACGGTGCCTCAGCAGCATCCGCAGGGGCAGCAGCTGGTTCAGCAGCCGGAAATGATTATGGTTATGGTTATGATGGCTCTCTTGGAGGACACGGTGCTCAGCAGCATCCGCAGGGGCAGCAGCTGATTCAGCAGCCGGAAATGGTTATGGTTATGGTTATGATGGCTCCCTTGGAGGACACGGTGCCTCATCAGCATCCGCAGGTGGCAGCAGCAGCAGCGAAACGGTATGGCACGGAAGATAGCCCCGAGAGGGGCCGCAGCAGCAGCTGCAGCAGCCGCAGACGTTTGGCGGAATTTTCGTTATGGTAAGGTGCTCTGGGGACAGTCTCAGGCCACCAAGTCAGAACAGTCAACGCTGATGTTCTATCAGGAAGGGGCCCAGGAACAGCGAGTCCACTCCGCAGAGCAGAGCTGGTTCGAGGCGCCGGAAATGATTTATGGTTTGAGAGTTATGAGGCTCTCTTGGAGGACACGGTTCCTCAGCATCATCCTGCAGGCAGCAGCAGCTGGTTCAGCAGCCGGAAATGGTTATGGTTATGATGGCTCTCTTGGAGGACACGGTGCCTCAGCAGCATCCGCAGGGGCAGCAGCTGGTTCAGCAGCCGGAAACGGTTATGGTTATGGTTATGATGGCCCTCTTGGAGGACACGGTGCCTCAGCAGCATCCGCAGGGGCAGCAGCTGGTTCAGCAGCCGGAAACGGTTATGGTTATGGTTATGGTGGCTCTCATGGAGGACACGGTGCGTCAGGCGCATCCGCAGTGGCAGCAGCAACAGCAAACGCTGATAGTGCAACTCGCGAAGGCCTATACACCGAACAAGCAGCAGCTGCAGCATCCGCAGCAGCAGCAGCTGGTTCAGCAGCCGGAAATGATTATGGTTATGGTTATGATGGCACTCTTGGAGGACACGGTGCCTCAGCAGCATCCGCAGGGGCAGCAGCTGGTTCAGCAGCCGGAAACGGTTATGGTTATGGTTATGGTGGCTCTCATGGAGGACACGGTGCCTCAGGCGCATCCGCAGTGGCAGCAGCAACAGCTGGTAGCACTGCATCGAGTGCAGGAACAGGTGCAGAAAGTTCAGTTACAGCAGGAGCAGCAGCAGCTGGTTCAGCAGTCGGAAATGGTTATGGTTATCGTGGCTTATATGGAGGACACGGTGCTGCAGGTGCAGCAGCATCAGGAGTTGCTGGAGCAACCGGCGGCTCAAGGTCTCAATACGAAGATATATACGATGTAGGAGGATATCATCCAGAAGCAGGTGCAGACAGTTCAGCTGCAGGAGCAGCAGCAACATCATCAGCGTCAGCGTCATGGCCTATTCGTAATACACGGCCTACGGTCATTGTAATAGAAGATGGGTCCTCTGAAACTTCTTCATCAACCTCTACCAGTTCTTCCGGTGTTGCAAGTGCTGCTGCTGGAACCGCAGCTACAGGCGGATGGGGCTTGAGAGGTAACAAGAATTGTCGTCTCTCCCGCCGACAATTGTTTGTAAAGATAGGTACGCGTCGTCAGCCATGCACGACATGCTAAATTTCTTAATAAATTATTACATTTTTTAAATATTTTTCTGGATACATCTTTTGTAAAAATATGAATAAATCTTGGCATTCTAAATTGATTTTAATTTCAGTTACACTTAACTTTTTTTCTTGAAATGGTACGAAAAACAGTTACATGTTAAAGTCTTAGCTATATAAAATTACATTGCCGAAGTATTATAAACACATAACAACTTGTTTGCGGTTTAATAGGAGCGTAAACACGAAGCAGGTCAGAACATCATTACCAATGCGTATGAGCAGACACTAGGTACTTATATGTAGATGTAAATGTACGATGTACAAGTACGATATAAATATAATACACTCAAATTCAGATCAAAGCAATACATTGTAACGTATCTTCCCCCCTTAGGGGTCACAAGGGCAGGGTTATACCTGTCAGGATAGTTGAGGATTCAAAAAAAATCGGCTGTTGTGTCCCACTACCTAATATTTATTTCCATTATCTAATACATAAACCATATCTAATACACTATGTAGCTTGAGAATACAACAAAAAAACCTAAGGTCCGTAACGACCTCTCTGAACAATAAACAAAAAAAATTGAAAGAGAAATTGGTGTCAAGAGTTAAAGTATTATAATTAGTTACTTAAATCTCTATTTACTATGCTTAAGAAGGTAAGTGGTAGAGCTTGGTCGAATCAAATGTAGTACCTTGGTATCACTTATATCAAAACATAAAAGAAAAATAGAAAATGGAACTTCGGATACCGGGTGGCCACAGCCTAGAGGAGCTGATGAACACTGGTATTAGGTGATCCGGTACCTTCAATGTCGTTTACCCGGCGAGGCAGACCATAGGTGAGGCAACGCCTCAGCGTTTCCTGAGTAAGGGCCCTGGTTTCCAGGCGTCCTCAGCCGGAAGCAATTTGTAGAGGGTAATGTTGGTAGATGCTCGGAGTCCTCGGAGCACCAGAGGTAGCAGCAGCCAGTACAAATAGGTAGGTAATTATGTTTAAATAGTAAGGGTATGCGGTATGTATGTAGTAACGGTATGCGGGAGCACTACACAAGAGGAAAGAGAGAGAGAAAGAGAAAAAACCCTTTCGGGTTTTTCCTGGTGATATCTGGTATCTAAGGCGGGTGACGCCTCAGCATCCGAGCCGATGCATTTCTGGAGGTCCTCCCCAGATCATCGGGACCGAACGTCCACTGTATCCACTCTTCGAAAAAGAAAAAAAAAGCTTACTCGCCGTCTTCGCGCCGGCAAGAGTTCATCTCACATATCTCATAGGGTTGGAATGAACGGTGTGATCCGTTGATTGAATCGATTATTGACATCGACTAATCGGTTTACCTGTATTTATACACGAAATCGCACTCTATAAAATATCATAAATAAAATGGAATCGTCCTTTTAAAAATACGACGTTACAACATATAATGTAATATATATTTATATTCTATGAGTCTGCAAGGCGGTTAATAATTCAATATTGTGACTTGAATTGATTATTAGAAAGTACAAAAATATCATGTCATTGAAATATTTGTTGTACGTCACTACCAGTCATCGAAGAGCTATGCGGACACCTGCGGTAGTCCTGCATGCTGTTGTGTGAAAAAGTTAATATTGACGCACATTTCGCCGATGGACTGTTCTGGGTGCAGTGTAACATATTCCATTTGTGATGGCTGTGCAGTCAAATTTGTAATTACACAGACCATGAAGCATAATACCATCAAGAAGTAGATGTCTAGATTCTAAGCTTGAATATTAAAATGATTTAACAACTCTACATAAGATAATTTGCACTGCATCGTGAACGAGTCTTTTAAAGAGCTTAGACAAAGTGAACAAAATCGAAATAGTGTGATATTGTTGGCCATTATTCTTGCCTCCGTTCTTGTACATAGGCGTTATGAATGCCTGTTTAACTACCGATGAAAATACAGACTCTTCCAGGCTCTTATTAAAAATAATGTATAAAGCGTAATAAATAAAATTTACAGATTTTAAAAAGAAGTATAGCTTAATGCCATCAAGGCCGGCACCCAATTAGAAGAGTAACGAATTGAAGACTCTTTCAATAGAGTTTTCTGTCAAATGAATATGAGATAGACATATGAAGTGCTTGGAATTTTGATCAGATGGTTGACAGGTTACTGGATCTAGAGTAGAGTGCTCGTAAACAGAACAGAAGAAAGAAGGAAACAGGTTGGATATATATTTTTAAGCACTTGAGGCATGTCGCAGAACCTAAAATTTTAAGAACAGCTTATTACGCATTATGTCAATCGTTGTACGTCACATTAAATTGTCAAATTACCACGTAGTGCCCCTCATAAAACATCGTTCAGCCAAAGATTCTCATGTTTTCTTGGTCGGTTTCTGTATAATAAAATAAATAGGATTTTATTTATAGCGAAAAGGACTAAGCACGAATGTAAAACTATAGTAACTGAGTGGTTTTGTAAATTGTCATATGAGGACACGGAGACTCTTATTCATCCAACATCGTAAAACATGTGCTCATCATACTCTAACAGCCACGCTCCATAAGCTCACACGCGCCCACACATACACACACACACACACACACACACACACATACACACACAAATGCACACACGCACACTCACAGACACGCACATTGCGAAGGTTAGACATTCATATCATTGGTGATGTTTTTAGAATGGCTTACTTAGTCAAGCTTCATTAATTGACACGAATTCATTATGAACATTGTTAGAAAGATTAGAAAAATGATATAAAACTGTATGTAATGTATATTTGTGTCATTGGAAGATTGCTGGTACTTATAGCTCAGGTATTACCTATTTTAAGTGCCAGCCGAACATGTTTTAAAATTTAAATGTGCATACCTATAAAATTGTCAAAGAGTCAGTAACTATTGTAAAATAATAAAATAAATAAATAAATAAAAATAAATATGTATGTAGGATTATCTGATGAAACATTGTTATAATACATTTTATTAGGAAAGTTAGCTTTTTTTTTATTTGAAATATAAGACCAAATATTTTTAACATTTTTAGGTATGATGTCTTCTATTGATGTTATGTAAATACGGAAACAATTTTCCATTTCTTTTTGAAATAATTTGCGATATTTCGAAAAGTGTTCGAAGTGAGAGATATTTCTGTATATTTCCCATTTAAGCCAAGCGCGTTCTTTGTTTTTTAAAATTCGAATTAGATTGGGAGAGAACCATATAGTAAAACGTGAACTTTTTGACTTCATAAAATGTATCGACGGCTTGTTCAGCGTGTGATAGTGTTGCTTTCCAGTCAAGTTTGCCGACTTCCTCATTAATGTTGTCATAATTGGCATTAAAGTATTTGTTAGTGAGCAATGTTTAACGTTTCATGGTTACAAACTCGGAACTCAAAAAGGGGGATGATGAGGGACAGTATTCAAAATATATAATACAAATCAAGTATTCGATCCAAAGTGTTTTTAAATGTATTGTATTAATTTCTTGTCAACTCAAACTTAATTAATGTTTGTCCTGGTGATGTTACTGAGAATGACACTAAACTGTGAACAACTGTGATGATTTTGCTCAACTCACAGACAGGACAATAAATCAACAGTCTCCAGTAATAAAAAAAGTTTGTATGGAAGGATCATTGACAATATTTTGTAGCATATTTAGATAATCAATGCATATGTACATTTGTATACACATATTCATATGTAAAGTTTGCAATTTTGTACGAATGCCTTCATACTTCTGATATTCCATAGCGATATTTAAGACAATGTGGTTTTCTACTATCAGAACTATGGAGCCATTAGAAATAAGTAAATTATGAATACACATTACCATGAGGCGAAGTAATGTTGACTGACATCTTAGGCCACTGAGGTTTTGAGACGAATAAAACAATACCTTAGATACGAGGTTATAAATAAAAATTTACAAACAAACATAGAAGAGTTTAAAAGATTACATTCGCAAAAAGTACTGACACCAATAAAATTATCTTCATATCTTTAGTTTTATTACTTTAAAGTGTATTGTGATCACGGAGATACTTAAGTAATTTATTTTGTATTATTACATTTTCTCATTATGTAAGTGAACTGTATTGTTCTTTTTTTCTGAGAAATAAATGACTTTAAATCGAAGATAACCGCGAAAGCCCTTCTTTGGCAGTCGGGTAAAAATTCTTCTTTTTAGTTCGAAAGGGGTCTTTTCCTAAATGGTTCCATTTAAATTTCATATAGATCTGACTCATCCTCAGATCGAAGACAGACAACGGAACTCTTCAAAAAATCAAAGCGATTTCTGCTAGATTTTTAGTGCTCTTTGTTAGTATTATTTGAAGTCGGTGCAACTTCTTTTTAAAAAGGATTTATCTTTTTTGCCAAGAGTTTATTGAAAGACTAATGTCTTTCAATAAACTAAAAATTTTTTCGTGCCCAACATTGCAGAACCTTCAAGAAAAGAGCGTACTTTTTCCTCAAAGGCTGACTGCTGACTCGTGAGCTGCAGGCGTTCATGGGCGGCGGTAGTCGCTTATCGTCAGGTGACCCGTCTGCTCGTTTGCACCCTAAAAAAAAATAAAAATCCATAAAAAAAGAACCGGTTACAGCGATAGCGCGGCCCTTCACCTGAATTTATCCCACGGATGGGCATGATTTCAAATCAATGCAAATGATATACAAATTTATGTGAGAAGTGATGACCGCTGGCCTTAAGATTGTACATTTCACCTTTGACAGTTGTTACTGGAGGCTCTATGAGATGACCCGTGCAATTGTAAAGTGTTTAAAAGTTTCGAGGAGTGCTAGTAGTTGTTATAAAAATTGCATAAAGTGATTGATTTTGTGTTAATAGCAAAAAAACATATATTCGATTTAAATATATACAACTTTAATTCACATTAAACAAAAAGGGTGATGGCATGTGGGTAGAAGTGGCAAATTAATAACTATCCCAAAGCGAATAATTGTAGAGAAGTACTTAGTAGATTCCATGTGATGATGGATTAGGAA